AGCAGCTCCAGCACCACCTCACAGTTCAGGAGCCCACACCTGCCCAGGGACGGGGCCACAGTCACCTGCAGCCCCTTCCCAGCCCAGAGTCCAGGCCTGGGCAGCCAGGAAAGGGAGCTGAAGCCCCCCAGCCCCAGGGAGCACCTGACACTCACTCCTTGAGGAAGTGCTGAGCTTCCTCCCTGGTGAGGAAGACCCTGGCCCCACGCGTCAGTCCCGACACCAGGCTCAGCTCCCTGCGGCAGTCCCCCGGGCTGTCAGCATCCACCCTGCCGGGGACACACCTCGTGAGGACAGGGGCCACCTGCTGCTCCTCCTGGGGTGCCTGCACACCCCCTGGGAGGCACGGCCAGCAGCGCCGGGCACTCTGGGTCAGAGGCGTGGGAAATGAGCAGAGGGTCTCTGGGGATGCCCTGGGACAGCCCCCCCGGGCCCCTCTCACCTGTCGGCCCCGGAGCGGCTGTCGCTGCCGGATTTGCTGCCCGAGTCGGAGGCGCGGCTGCGCTCGTGGCCCTGCGAGGACTCGCGGGAGCTGTGCCCGCTCTCTGCCTCCTCCCAGCCTCCCCCGGCCTGCCCGGGCTGGTGGCTCGCTGCAGGGACAGCGCTGCTCAGCTGGGCTCCCCAAACCCCCCGGAACGGCCGGGGACCCCCCAAACCCCCCCCAGGACCCACCTCGGGACGCACGCGGCGCAGGAGGGGTCGGGGGCGGCGGGGCCGGGCTGCCGGCGGGGGACGGAGCTCGGACGGGCTCGTAGGTGTCCTCGGGGAGGTCCCCACGGGGCCGCCGGGGTCCCCCCGGGGCCGGGAGCACGGCCTGGGCCACGGCCTCGGCCGCCCGCTGCAGGCTGCTCAGCAGGGCCTCTCCTGTGGAAGCTGCAGAGATTGGGGGGTCGGGGGAGCCCAGCGCCATGGGACCACCCCATCACCCCAGGAAGGGGGCTGAGGGAACTCTGGGAGCTCAGAGGACAGAGAGTGAGCCCCATGGCCCTGCCCCAGCTGCCAGCAGGAAAGGACCCAGCGAGGGCCCGGCCAGGACTCACCAGAGCCGCTCTTGTCAGTGCTGAAGCCGAATCCCTGCAGGGAACCACAGGGGCTGGGGCTGGAGCCCATCCCTGGGGAGGCACAGGGAACGTCAGGGGGGCACAGGCACCCAGGGTCCCCTCTGCTGCTGTGTCCCTGTCCCCCTGAGCGAGGGCCTGGCCCGGGGGGGCTCTGCTCACCAGCAGGGGCTGGGGGCCGGGCGGGCAGTGCCAGGGGCTGTGGCAGTGGGGCATCCGAGAACAGAATGCTGGCCAGGTCCTGTGGGATTGAGAGACACAGAGACAGAGAGACAGGAGTGCTGGCAGTGCTGGGAACCCCAGGGTCCCCGAGCAGGGGGCTGGGGGCTGCCTTGTCCCTGCAGCACCCACCTGTGCCGCCGCCCGCACCTTCTGGTTCAAGCTGTTGCCGTGGAGGGGGTCTGGGGGCCCGGAGAACACTGCACACACACAGAGGGGAGGGTGGGGGACGCTCCCAGGGAGGGTAGGACCCTGCTCCTGGCACAGCAGGAGCCCCTCTGGGGTCTCAGCCCCCCATTCTGCTCTGCCCTGTCCCCCCAAGCCGTTACCCGCAGCCTCCCGGATGAAGCTGGCGTTCCTCTTCAGCTGCAGCACAAACTGGGGCGAGCCCTGCGAGCAGGTGTGCAGCAGGATCTTCAGCACCTGCCTCGGGGGACAAGGACAAGTCACAGCTGCCCTCCCTGCAGCGGGGGGCTCCATCCCCTCACCCCAAACACGGACCCACCTTCAACTTGACGTGGCAGGAGCTGCTCTGCAGTCGTGTGAGCAGATGCTCCAGCAGGCACTGGCTGCTCCCGGGGGACTCGTGGGAGATCTCTGGGCACGGGTTATGGATCCAGCCGGGATCGGAGAACAGCAGCAGCCCCCAGTGCCGGGAATTCAGCCCCTCACAGGGTCCCAGCCAGACCCCACAGCCCCACGGCTGCCCCCAGCCAGCCCAAAGCCCACCACGGCCTGGAGCAGCCCCGGGGAGCTCACCCTGTCCCGGGATCCCCTCCCTGTCCCGGGATCCCCCCTGCCCGGTGCCCCCCGGCCCCCCGAAGGATACTGGCGATCTCCTCGAACAGGTACCCGGGGCACGGGGTGTCGTCGTCGGCCGTGCCCCGCAGCAACACAGGCAGCTGGAAGAGGAGGAGGCGGCGTGAGAGGGGGCGGACCCGGGCCGTTCCCCGGTGCTGGGGACCGGAGCGAGGCCCCGGGGCAGGCCCGGCCCGGTCAGGGCGGAGTGAGGCCGCTGCAGAAGCGAGTGGGGGGGGGTGCAGCGATGACGTGGCGGGTGAGAAGTGACGTCACGCCCCGGCAGCCCCCCCGCACCCCACAAAAGCCCCGGTCCGTACCCGGCTCAGGAAACTCAGCCGGTCCCGCAGCGGCGCCGCCATGACACTGCCGGCACCGGCCCTGCCCGCTCCCTCGGCGGCCTCAGGGAACCGCCCCCCAGAAGTTGATTTCCACCAATAAGAGGGCGAAGCTCTGCCGCTCAACCAATCATCGGTGAGAGAGGGCGGGGCTCCAGGCGGAAGAGCCTTATGATGTTGACGCCTGAAGGAGGCGGGACGTAAACAACCGGCATTTCCACCAATCAGAGCCGCCCGCGCCGAACGCCCAATTAAAGGGGCGTGGTTTTGGTTGGCACTGCCCAATAGGCGAGCGCGGTGAGTGACGAGCGGGTCGGGCAGCCAATCGCGGCCGCCCGGACATGGCGGCACCCGTGCGTGAAGCGATGTCGGGGCGCGGAGTGTGGCTGCGGGCGCGGGCGCGGCTGCGGCGCTTCCCGGCGGCGCTGGCGGCCTGCGGGGACCAGGTGGGGCCGGGGGAGGCACAGGAGGGCGGCTCCGGGGCAGACGGGGCACAGGGAGGCGGCTGCAGGGGGTCCCGGTGCCCCCGCTCCCGTCCCGTGTGACTCCCGCAGGCCGCGGCCTACGGGCGGTGCGTGGCGGCGGCGGCGGCGGGACCGGCGGAGCTGCGGCGGGACGCGTGCCTGGAGGAGTTCCAGGCGCTGCGGGAGTGCTTCGCCCGCGCGGTACGGCCCTGTCCCGGTCCCCGTGCCCGGTCCCGGTCCCCGTGCCCGGTCCCGGTCCCGGTCCCCGTGCCCGGTCCCGGTCCCGGCGGAGGGCGGCGGCCTCGGCCCGTCCTGACCGCGGCTCTTTGCAGGCAAAGGCGACGCCCAAGTGACCCCGGAGCCGCTGGTGGGGAATGAGACCCTCCAAGCACCGGATTGTCCCCAAATGACGGAGCCCTCCCCGGTCCCGGAGCTGCCCAGCCGCTCCCCGGCCCGGAGGCGGCTCAGCGCCGGGCTGGGTGAAGGTCACAGATCTATTTTTATTTATTAAAAAAGAAAAGAATTCAGATCAGAATGCTTCAGCTTATTTTATTGATGGGCTCGGCCCGCACTCCGGGCTCTCCGTGCCAGCGTCCCCCCCGCCCCGGGGAGCCGATCCCGGCGGGACAAGGCGGCTCCCGCCCAGCCCGGGTGCCCACGGCATTCCCAGAGCAGGAATGTCAGGAGCATCAATGTCAGGAGCATCTTTGGTCCCTTCTGTTCACACACAGAACAAGGAGCAGGCGGCGGTGCCCCCGCGGGGCCGGAGCCGGCAGCACAGGGCACGAGGAGCCGATCGGGCTCCCTGGCACCGCAGGAAGGGAAGGCTGGATGTGGATGTGCCACAGCCCGGATCCCTCTCCCGGGGCAGCCCTGGAGCTCCAGAGCCCGTCCCCGCCTCCCGGCCGTGCTGCTTGTGCTTGACGACAGCGTTAATGGAGAAGCTCGTTGGGTTCGGGGGGTTTAAGGCCACAGTGTTCGGGGGGGGTCTTCCCAAAGGACTCCCCAGGGGGCTTCCCTGTCACTCTGGGCTGTGACACCCCGGGACCACCAGGCGGGGACAGTCCCACCCCGTGCCGGCTCTGCAGGGGCCCACTGGACACAGACTCGAGGTCACCAAAGACATTTGGAGGTCGGGATAGAAAAGCCACCACAGTGATGAGGTCTGAGGGCTCCAGGCTGGGAATTCTCAGCCGGTCTAGGGAGAGCTTTGGGACTGAATTCTGTACATTCGCAGGTCGGGATGTAAAAACACAAAACCCAAAAAAACCCAAGGGGTGAATCACGGGAGCCTGAAACAACGCAGAGCTCTTGGGGAAGCTCCTCCCTTCTTCACTCACCAAACAAACTCCCAGAGGTGGAGCAGGGACCTGTCTGGATGCAGAACAGGGCGGGGGGAGGCTGGGAAGAGCACAGGGAACACAGGCAGGGGCAGGTGGAGCCCCTGCATCCACCTGGCCCTGCCATGCTTTCTCCCAAACTACTCACCTCTGGCAGGAGAATCAAGCTGGGTTGGGAAGGGTCGGCGGGAAGTTGAGCTTCTTAATGCACTTTTGAGAGGGGAAATGGAGCTGGAGAGCACAGAGAGGAGCACCAGGGAGGGCAGAGGGGGCAGAGCTCTGTGTGGTCCCAGTGTGTGCCAAGGAACCCCATCCCTGGGAGAGAGGCAGCACAACAGCAGTTGTGCCCAGTTAAGGCAGCGTTTCTACTAAATGAGGTTCCTAAACCACCACTGTGGCCCAGACAAATGAGGCTCTGCTCCCAGTCCAGCACTGGAGCGCTGGCTCTGCCGGCCCTCAGCTCACGGCCTCTCTGGGGTAAAGCCTTTCCCGAGGTGGGGATGGATCCCAGGTGCCGGGGCCATGGAGCCCCTTCCTGCTTCTGAGAGGAGCTGGGAGATGGCTGGAGAAGGCAATCGGATGTGAATGAGATGCTGGAAAAGCTCCTCGGAGCAGCGGCCTGGCAGGGAGCCGAGGTGCATGGCAGCTCTGGAAGGCAGGGGACAGCAGGAATGTCACTTCCAGTGCCACCATCTCCTTGGCCACCCGCAGGCACACCCCAGGGTGGTGCTCGGGGATCCAAGGAGATCCCAGCAAGGCGCAGCTGGCTCAGATCTCTCCGCACTCAGTGAGGCCGAGCCCTCCCTGCGGAGCACAGGCACGGCCCTGTCACGGGCTGGTGTCCCGTGTCACCTGCTGGATGTGGCGGCTGCGCGCCAGGTGCTGCGCGCCCTCGGCCACCCGGCTCAGCCGCGCCTCCAGCGCGCTCCGCAGGTCGTTCACCTTCACGTCGGGGAGGGGGTTCAGGCCGATCAGGACCCCCCCTGCTCCTGCTGCAGCCTCCTCCCCGTCCTCCTCCTCCTCCTCCTCCTCCTGGTCGGGAGGCAGCAGGTCCAGGTCCCGTCTCCTGCGCCGCAGGTCCAGCCCCCCCTGCAGCTTCAGCTCCCGGTTGGGTTTGACGTCGCGCTCCGGCTGCTGTGCATCCCTGGGGGCGGCTGCTCCGTTCTCAGCATCCTGAGGGGCGCCGATGGAGGGACCCCCACCCCCCCGGCCCCCCGGGGGCTCCTCCCCGGGATCCTCCTCCTTCCCGTGCCCGGGGCCGGGCGGGTCCCGCTGCCGCCCGCCCGCTCCCTCGGCCTGCGCTGCTCTCGGCCGCTCCCTGTCCCGGGGGTGCTGCTCCCTCACTGCCACATTCCTGTTACTGGAAGAGTCCGGCACCCCTGCCAGCTCCTTGGGCTCCACCTGACTCAGAGTTTTGGCTTTAAGGTCTGTTCCTGAGTCTCTTTCCAAGCCCTTTCCTGCTACTCCCTGAACTTTGGCAGCCCCCGGCTGTTCTCTTTGGATGGGAGCTGTAGCTGCTTCCACGGCTTTCAGGAAATTCTTCTTCTGGTGGACATCTCTTCCAGCTTTGGTTTCACGTTCTCCTCCCAAATCCTCCGCCAAGGCCTTTTTCTCCAGGTGGTTTCTGGCTGCTGGAACACGCTGGGCATCCCCGTGGAGGGGATCCCGGTTCTCCACGGGATTTTTCACAGCTCTGTCAATCTCCTGCAGCGGCACCTTCCGCTCCCTGGGAGCAGCCACAGGAATGTCACGCCTCTGCCCAGCCTCCTCCACGTCCCTGTGCTGCCTGGTGGAATCGGGGGGCTGCTGGCCCAGCTGCTCCTTCCTGGCCGTGTCTCCCTTGGCTCTGAGGCCCTCGTCCTCCCTGCTCCTGGAGAGGGGCACGGCAGGCTCTGCCTGTGCTTCTGCTGCAGGACAAAACCCACATGGAAAACGTTTCTCAGGACATTCCCTTCTCCTGCCACCACATCCTGAGAGACACGAGATGGGGCCAGGCAGGAGGAAGAGCAGAGCTGTGGTTATCCCTACAGAAATGGCTGTGCAAGGGGACTTTGCCACGTGCCAAAGGAGCTCAGATCTCTCCCAGTTTGATTTTAGAGCTGCTCTGAGCCGTGAGCACCCTCTGGAGGGCTCCTGCTCCCTGGCCATGTCCTTACCTGGCTTTGGCTTCTCCTCTGCCCCCTCCTCCTGCCGCTGCTGGTGGATCTCCTTGTGCTGCTCCTCGATCACTGCCAGCAGCTTTGCCTGCTGGTCCAGGAGCTGCTTGTGCTGCACCTGCTGCTCCTTGATCACCTGCAGCAGCACGTTGTGGTCCAGCAGTTTTGCTGGCCCTGCTTCTGGAAAAGGGGAAAAAGAGGAAGTAAAATTCCTGTGACCCTCAGAAATCATGTCAGCTCTGGATGGGCTGCAAGGGCTCTCCTTGGCAGGAAGATCTGACTCCACAAACCCTGCCAGGAGAGAGAGAAGGAAGCTGGAAGAGGATGGGATGAGAGAAAGTCCACAAGCACACGAGTCCAAGCTCAGGCTCCAAGCCCCAATTGTCAGGCAGAGGTTGGAGGGAGGAGCTCAGCCTGAGGAAGGGCTTTGCAGCTCCAGCTCTGATGCTCTAGGGACAGAGCAGCTGGGGCCTTGGGGGGAAGGAGCTTTTCCCTGTGATGTTTCAGGTGTCCCCGTGTGTCCCTGCCCATGCCCCTCCTGCCGTGCTGCCAGAGCAGTTTCACTCCTGTCTCCCTCTTCCCAGGGCTCCAACACCAGGGAGCAGCCAGGCCCGGGTGCCAGCATGACTCAGGTCCCTGAGTGGCCCTGCCAGGTGTGCCAGAGATGGGACAGGCACCACCTGATGCTGTGCAGGGGCTGTGGCCTCAAGACACCATCCTCCCACAGAGAGGGATCCGAGGAGATCCAAGCCCATCCCTGCACGCCCTGAGGACACACACTCACCCCCTGCCTTCTCCTGCTTCTCCTCAGTGTTCTGCTTCTCCAGCAGCTCTGCTCTCTCTGGGAGGGGCAGCTCCTGCCTCTCACCTGCAAAGGAAAGGAGCACAGAGCTTTGCTGTCAGTGCAGATGTTCCCTAGAACGCCTCCACGCCGTCCCGGCACCGCTCGCATCCAAGGCGCCGGCTGCGAGGGAAGTAATAAACCCAATATTTAACAACCCCGTGCCTGGTGGCAGCGAGCCAGCACTAACTACCTCGGCCAATTAACATGCAAGAACAGCTCTAACTGGCTTTTAGACGGGCACTTGGCAATGTGTTCCCTGTCAAGATCTCCCGGCTCCGTGTCCCCGGTGATTTGGGAGCCGTGCAGGAACAGCACGGCACCTGACATTTTGGCGGGTAGCGAACAACTGTTTGACAGCTCTTGCAGTAGCTGTCAAAGCCACCAGATTCCTCCCTTCCCGCAGCAGCTGCCGGAGGGGCTGTGCTCACTCACGTGCTCCACTCGTGGAGTTCAAAGGAAGCACCGGGATGGAGATGGGAATGACCAAATTGTCCCGACTCCGGGGGCACTACAGGCCCAGAAGAGCTTGCTCAGCTGAGCTGCTGTGAAAGGAGCTTACCAGGGTCTGCTTCCTTCTCCACGGGCTTTGCCGCCTCCTCTGCTTTCCTGGGGAGCTGGAGCTGTGCCTTGTCCCTCTCAGCAGCCTCGGCAGTGTCACCATCCAGCACGGCCGCCTGTGCCCTGGCTTCCAGCTTGGCTTCCCCTGGCTCCAGCTCCTTGTAGGGCGGCCTTCCCCCCTGCTGCAGCGCTGCCTCCGGGACCTTCTCCAGATTTGGGACGGGCCCACCAGTCCCTCCTCGCTGCTGGCTCTCAGCAGCCACTTCCTTGCCTTGCTTTGGGCCCAGTGCCTCCTTCGGGGGCTTCAGCCTGGCTGGCTCCTCCAGCAGACGGTCGCTGGCTCCTCCAGGAGCCGCTTTGTTCTCGCTGGATTCCTCCCGCTCCCGCCCCATGTCCACGACCACCTCATCGTGTGGGACCGGGGGCTCGTGGCGATGGGCCTCCCCCACGGGCACAGCAATCCCTGGGGACAGGCAGGGTCAGAGCAGCAGGCTCCCAGTACACCCAGTACACCCAGCACACCCAGCACACCCAGCTCCATGCTGCCCCTGTCCAGCCCTTCCTTCTCTCCCTCATCTGGAGGCCACGTTCCCAACAAACCTCCAGAGCATCAAACACTAAATCACCTTCAATCCACCAAGAGCACCATGGAGGTGCACTGAGGGGAGGGTAAGGAGAGGTCAGGATCTCAGAGTCCCACAACATACACACACCCCCAGCTCCCAGTCCAGCTCCCTTTACCTTGATCAGGACGGTCCAGCTGCACTTTCTCTTCCACCTTCCCTCTCTCCTCCTCCCTCTCGGGCACCTGCACGGGCACCTTGATCTGTGGCTGCTCCATCTCCTCCTTCTCCTCAGGCACTTTGGGTTTGTCACGGTCATCCTCGGGCTCCTCCACCACCGGGTTCTGCTCTGCAAACACAGCATGGGGACAGGGATGAGCTGTGGGAGCTGGGAATTGCTGTGTCTGTCCCAGTCCCTTCACCCACCCAGCCCAGCCGCTGATTTCCCTCCGGCCTCAGCACAATGGGGCTGGGGGAGGTTCTGTTCTGGGGTGCCCTGGTTGTTTTCCCTGTTGTGGGTTTGTATGGAGCTGCTGGAAGGGAAGAGTGACAGGGATGGAGAGGGGATGGAGCAGGGATGGAGAGGGGATGGAGAGGGGATGGAGAGGAGATGAGCAGGGATGGAGCAGGGATGGAGCGGGGATGGAGAGGGGATGGAGAGGGGATGGAGCCGAGATGGATAAAGGATGGAGCAGGGATGGAGAGGGGATGGAGAGGGGATGGAGAGAGGATGGAGAGGGGATGGAGCAGGGATGGAGCCGAGATGGATAAAAGATGGAGCAGGAATGGAGCAGGGATGGAGCGGGGATGGAGAGGGGATGGAGCAGGGATGAGCAGCATAGATGGAGCAGGGATGGATACGGAACGGACCGGGAATGGAGCAGGGATGGAGCAGGGATGGATACGGAACGGACCGGGAATGGAGCACGGATGGATGCGGAACGGACCGGGAATGGAGAACGGATGGAGCAGGGATGGATACGGAACGGACCGGGAATGGAGCACGGATGGAGCAGGGATGGATACGGAACGGACCGGGAATGGAGCACGGGCGGAGGCGGCTGCTGCTGCGGGGCAGTGCCACCAGATGTCAGCATCCCCCCGGCTCCCTGCCCCAGATCCCGGCTCCGGGAGAGCCCGAGCTGGAATCCAGAGCCGGATCCCCCGGCACTGGGAGAGGCAGAGCTGCGATCCAGCCCCGAACCCCCCAACACCAGAACCCGAGCGGGGCTCCAGCCCAGCTCCCACCCTCCCGCTGCTGTTTGCTGTCAAACGTTTTAAAACCTCATTTATTTTGATTTTTCCCCCCTTTTTAGTGCCCGAGTGTTCCCACAGCCCCTCAGATGCCTCTCAGAGGAGGAGGGGTGGGGAGGTTTCCTTTTCTTAAAAGTTTTGAGGAGGGGGATTAAACAACAGGCATTAATTAGGGGAAACTCCAGAGGGAGAAGGGGGAGTTTTCCCCCACCTTGCCCTCAAAGAGACAGAATGTTGTTGGAAGACACATCCCAGTCAAACCAGTTACTATGTTCAGCACTGGTATGACCAGCGTATTCCACATGGAATCTTTTGCACATTCCATGGGATGGGAAGGGTCCCTTCCACCCCCAGCATGGCAGAAAACCCACACAGGGAGTGAACTCTTCCTTTGGAGAGCAGCAGAGAAGGAAATCGAATTGTTTCCCAGCAGTGAAGTTGTTCTGCAGATTTTTTTCCATCCAACAAACTCTTAAAAAAAAAAATCTATCTTCTGTAACAAAAAAAAAAATTCCCAACTCTTTCCCCCTTCGCCCTCCCCCGTGTGATTTCCTTTGGGGAATTAATTCTATAAACATCTTTCCATTTTCTCCTCCCCCTCCGCAGGGCTGGTGCGATTTATTACGAGATGAACTCATGGGAAAGAAGGGATTGCCACAACTTCAGCTGCGTGGGCCTTGCCTGAGCTGGGGAGGGGGGGGAAACAACAAAAATTCACAAAAAATTAAGTACAAACTCCTGGCCCAGAGGGATCTGTGCCAGCAGGACCTTGAGCCTCTCCAGAAACGCAGAGTCCAGCCCCAGCTCCACACCCAGAGCAGGGACGTGTGCGGGGCTGGCCAGATCTCCACGTTCCTTCGCTTGGGGAGCGATGGTGGGAGGGGAAAAGCGTTCGGATTTTCTGAGAAATTCGAGTCCAGTACCCAAGGGTCCCCCTCTCCATTGAGGGACTTCCCAGGGTTCAGCAAGTCAGGGCAGGACGCTCCTCCTTTTCAGGAAAAGCTGGGCTGCAGGAACCGGTGCCCAGCCCTGGCCAGGGGCCCTGGGAAGCGGGAGGCCGAGGCCGGGGAGGGGAGCTCGGCACGGCTGCGGATGTTCCCAGCTCAGTCCTGGCCCCGGTGCAAGAAATTATTTACTCTGTTGGAGGAAAGTTTCTCGTTAATTGGCTCATGGAGGCGGGAGATGGCTCCGGTCGGAGAGGAGCGGAGGATCCAGAGAACCCCAGCGCAGGCAGGGCTGCTCACACAGCGACGAGCCGAGCACTGAGAGGATGGTCAAGGGGAAACAAAAAGGAACGAGGGGGAAATAAAAAGGAAGAGAGGAGGAAATAAGAAGGGAGAGAAGGAAATGAAAAGGAGGGGGAAATAAAAAGGAAGAGAGGAGGAAATAAAAAGGAATGAGAGGGAAATAAGGAAAAGAGGAGGAAATAAGAAGGGAGAGAAGGAAATGAAAAGGAAGGAGGGGGAAATAAAAAGGAAGCAAGTAGGAAATAAAAAGGAAAGAAGGGGAAATAAGAAGGAAAAGAGGAGGAAATAAGAAGGAAGGAGGAGGAAATAAGAAGGAAGGAGGGGGAAATAAAAAGGAAAGGAAGGAGGGGGAAATAGGAGAGGAGGAAATAAGAAGGAAGGAGGGGGAAATAAGAGATAAGGAAATAAGAAGGAAGAGAGGAGAAAATAAGAAGGAAGGAGAGGGAAATAAGAGAAGAAGAAATAAGAAGGAAGGAGGGGGAAATAAGAGAGAAGGAAATAAGAAGGAAGAGAGGAGGAAATAAGGAAGGAGAGGGAAATAAGAGAGGAGTAAATAAGAAGGAAGGAGGGGGAAATAAGAGAGGAGGAAATAAGAAGGAAGGAGGGGGAAATAAAAAGGAAGAGAGGAGGAAATAAAAAGGAATGAGGGGGAAATAAGGGAGAGAGGAGGAAATAAAAAGGAAGAAGGGAAAAATAAGAAGAGAGGAGGAAATAAAAAGGAATGAGGGGGAAATAAGGAGGAAGGATGGGGAAATAAGAAGGAAGGAGAGGAAATAAGAGAGGAGGAAATAAGAAGGAAGGAGGGGACATAAGAGAGCAGTAACTAAGAAGGAACACACGGGAAGCTCTCCTTGCCAGCAGGACGCAGAGGAGTTAATTGCAGCCGTTCCCCTGCCCAGAGCAGCAGGTGAAGCCCCGCGGGCCCAGGGCAGCCCGAGGGGCCGGGGGAGGCCCCGCTCCGCTCCGGGAGTGTCCCTGGCAGCTTCCACCATCAATCAGGCAGAGGCACGTTCCCTGCTCTGCAAACAATGCAGGAAAAGCCCAAAACGCAAACAAACACAAACCCAAAAGTCTCCACGCCACAATAAGGCCAAGCTGCCTCGAAGCCATCATTTGCTCAGCGGGAGACAAAATTAAGTTCATCATCAGGGCGTGAATTAACAACCTCTCAGGCTGCCTGGAAATCCATCCGGGGCTCCGGCTGCTTTGCAGGGAAGAGTTTTGCTGGGGCTCTGCCTCTCTTCTTTGCCCTCCGGGTCCCTTTGGAGCGTCCTCCAGTAACGCTGCGCCTCGTCGTGTTTTATGGGCGGCCTTGGACATTACAGGCAAGGCCTGAGAGGCTGTAAAAGCTTTTTGGCTCCCAAGGAGAGGCCGGGGTGTGAGGCAGCACCGAGAGGCTTCGCTCTGACCCCCCGGCTCTCCGGCAGCTCTGCTCACACGAGGGGAAGCCGGGGCGTCCTGCAGCTGATTTGTGTGTGTGCGTGCCTGGGTGTGTTGTGGTTTGGCAACAGCCTCTCCAGGCTGCCATAAAATTTCATGATTAGCAACCTAAAAGCTTCCCTTCTCCCCCTGCTCCTGGTTCGGATCGTTGCAATGGTCCCAGGCAGGCACTAAATCCCTCCTCACGCGTTTTTCCAGCCTCTCGGAGCTGAAATGTGCCTCCACAGCCCCTGCCCTGGGCAGAGGCAGCGGGATGGGCCCTGCTGTGCTCGCCCCCAGTGCAGGTGGAGCCTTAGGGACAGCACAGGGAGCTCTGGGACTCACCCCCCACTCCAGGGCGTCACCCCAGGGACGACCAGGGACACGGGGCTCAGGACCTGCTCATGCCAGTGCAGCTCCAGATCTGCTGAAACTCCTTCATTGCATGACATGGAGCAAGATCCAGGAGCCCGTGCCAAGGAAAACGGAGCCCAGCAAGCGGGGCAGAGGGCTGGGGGCACACTCTGCCCTGGGACGTGCTGAGCACCAGGAGCAGGGCAGGGCCAGGCCCTCCCCGGGGAGCCCCCGGCCCAGCTGCGCCTCCAGGAGCCCTCCCTCCCCCCGAAACGGGTCCAGATTTCACAAGGTTATGGAATGGCATCCCTGAAATTAGTTCACAGTTGTCTCCTGACGCACCAGCAGTAAAAACCAACCCAAATTACCAGAGGCTGCTGGTTCCTTTTCTGTGTCACAGGCACTATTAAAAGCTCGCTCGCACAAAGCACCAGGGAGAGCCGCGGCGGAGCCAAGCTGTTCCTGCAGGATGCAGGAGCCACGTTCCACACATCCCCGGGGCTGCTCCGGCGGGGAATGCCGGCAGGGACCGTGGGCAGCTCGCTGCTGGGGGGCAAACACAGGCATGGAGGGTGCAGGGATGCACGACACAGCCCCAAATTTTACCCCAATTCAAATAACAGAGCCCACCCCATGCCCCAGGACAGCGGGATGGCCGGAGCAGGGTGCCCGGCACACCACACCGGGAAAAGGGCCCTTGCACAAGGAGCCTGAATCAGGGCTTTGTTACCCAACGTTGCACAACAGCAGGGAGAAGATGAAGCAGCAACGATCAAGTAAGGAGCTGAAAAATATTACAAAATCTTAATCCCCCCCGAGACCCTCGAGGGTGCTTTAAATACGGAGAGAAATTGCCTAATTAGCTTTTTTTTTTTTTTTTTAATGGATAATTGCCTTCCTGAGCTTTCAGAGGCAGCTTAGCAACCTTTTAACAGAGGCGCAGCCGCGGCAGGACGGGGCTGGAAGGGGCTTTATCCCTTTCCCGAAGAGCTGCTGACAGTAAAACCTCCAGCACCACAGGCTGGGGCTGTAATGGGCACTTGGGTGTCGTTAGGAAAAACACGATTCCGAGGCCGCTGGTCAATACGTGTTCACATAAAAGGCCAATGTTCTAATATTCATAATCCCCGGGCCCACGGGGCAGGGCTTTAATGAAAGTCTCTCCAGTTCTGGGCTCCACAACATCAAAGAGGCCAATAAAACTCCTCTCACACGCTGACAGGCGGGAGGCAGACGGGGAAGGCAGCGCTGGGGAAGGCCCTGCGGTTTGCCTCGGATGGGGCAGCACGGGAAAGGGCACGGAGCAAGCCTGTGCCCAGGGAAGGGGCTGAGCACCCTGTGACCCAGATGCAGCTTGTGCCTGGAAGGAGGGGTCTGGAAGAACCCTTCACCCAGGAAAAGGGCTGGGAGCAGCAGCCTGCAGCCAGGGAAGGAGCCTGGAGCAGCAGCCTGCAGCCAGGGAAGGGGCACCCTGTGCCCGGGGAAGGGGCTGAGCAGCCAGCAGGGGTGCCCAGGGCTGAAGCCGTGGGATCCTGCTGAGCCCCGGGTGCGGAATTCGGCCCATCCGGAGGGCACCCAGGTGCAGCCCAGCCCCGCATCCTGCGGCCCTGCAAGGACAGGATGCAGCTGCTGCGGCAGCTCCTGCTCTGCAAAACAAGGCGGGCGAGGACGAGGGGGAGCCGCGGCGGGAGATGAAGGGCACCATTTAACGCCTCTCATTGCTAGTCAAGCCGACATCCTGCAGAGGCACAGGGAGGCACAGATCCAAGGAATAGCAGGGCTGGCTCTCCTGGGGCAGCCCCATGGCCACCCCTGCAGGTCCTTGTCCCTCTTCTCCCTCCTCCCCAGAGAGGGAGCTCCATTGGCAAAGGGACCCCGGGGGACAGCTGAGCTTTCCCTTGGAACTGCAGGGCTCCTCCCTGGGAAGTTTATGAGCCGGGAGCACTAAACCCGCCTTCCTCCCGCGTGGGATTATTTAATCCAGAGCTGCTGCCGGCGGGCCCGGGATCGCTGGGGTGATCAGAGCCTGGCATCCCGCTCCACCGCCCCGGCTCACGCCGAGAAGGGGAGAAGATTCAGCAAACTCCTGCAGACACCGTGTTTTATGGGGATTTTTATTTTCCCAGTCAGAACACGTGTCATTAGCGATTCCTCCTGAAAGGAGCAGCTGTTCTTTGGCCATTACTGCTCCAAAATTAACCAAGACGGAAGGATTCAATCGCATCCCTCCTCCAGGCCCTGCTGAGGGCTCCATTAAGGGACTGGGAGCGTCTTTTGCTCGGAGTCCACCGGCATCCGCGTGCCCGGGAAGGCACACACGGCCTTGAGTAAGCCACGAGCAAACCACAAGTAAACTCGACCGCGGAGCAAGCCCAGAGTGAATGTTATCGGCAGCAGCACCGGTGTGGGAGACGCTCCAAGCTGCCGGGCAGGAACCCAGCCAAGAACCAGGAGGGAGGATAATCTCCACTAGAGCCAGCCCCTTTCTCCCTTCCGCTCTCAGTCTCTGCGAGGATATTTCAAGGCCTCCAAAGAACAAAAAAAATAAAAAACCCCACAGGAGCAGGAGGAAACAAAAGTGCAGCGAAGGAACAGGACGCCGAGGGGCAGCGCGGGGTCAGGCGGCACCTGCGCGCCACGGCCTCGCTCCGCGGCAGCTGGGAAAGGGAGGAGCGGCCGTAATTCCATCAGCAGCCCCAGCAAACAAATAATAAATAACAAGGACCAGTAAACAAAGCTGAGGCATAATCACAGGCTTTGTCAGAGAGAAAGATGAGGCCAAATTTATACCCTCGTCACCAAAAAAAGAGGCAGTTCCCATAAATTTCCCTTCCTTCGAGGGTGATGGGTGGATGGATGGTCCTTGGGCTGGCACAGGGGAGGACAGTCCTGTGGGCCAGGTGGGCACTGGGCTCATCCCAAACAGGAATCCCTGCTCTGTCCCTCCAGGGGATCCCAGGCCTGCACCACACCCTTCCCTTCCCAAAAGAACAACTCCCACAATGGACCACTGGAGGCCACAGTGCCTTTTCCAGTGGACAAAAGTGAAGCTTTTCCTGGGAAAAGGCCCTAGGGAGCTGGGAAGATGCACAGAGCTGCCTGCAGATTACCCTGCTTCCACCACACTTTTAAAAAACCAAATTTCTCCTTCTTTTTAAGAGGTGACCTGGGAACAGGGCTGGGAAACCCAACTCCAGCGAGCACATACCTGGAAGTTTGACTGAATCCTGGTCAATTCTGCTCTCCTCCCTGTCCAGGTGCTCCAAGCCCACTGGTTCTGTCCTCACAGGGGTGTCCTCAGTGGCAGACAGGGTGGTGTAGGTGCTGATCACCAGCATGCCCAGCCCAATCCATAGGATCATCTGCACAGAGGGACAGAGGGACAGTGAGCACAGGAAATCCAAGGGGATTGCTCCCCACAGCATTCCCACGGTGCCTGCACAGAATTCCAAGCTCAGCACGGTGACATGTGTTAGGGAGAGAAGAGAAATGTCAGAGAGAAACAGGAAAACCAGTTGCTCCTGCTGAGGTTCATTTTTGGGTGTAGAGCCATGGGAATGGAAGCTGTTTCAGAGGCTGGAAGCTGTTGGAAAGGCTTTGGAAGGGCTCAAAAGCGAGTGAAGTGAGTGGGCAGGACCCAGGGATAGGAAAATGCATGTGGCAGACAAGTCCTACTGCAAAGACTCATTTCCTGGTATTCCCAGCATGAGAACTCCATGAAATCAGGTCTGGCTGAGCACAGAGAGCCTGGCCTGGTTACAGCCCCAAACCATTCCAGGCGGCTGCTTCAAAATCCTTGGGTTTGAAAGCAAGGGTAACATGTCCACACACAGATCCTGGTCCCAGGGCTCAAGAAGCTGCTGAGAAATGACTCCCTGATTCCCAGAAAGCCAGGATCAAAGGGAGTAAAAATAGAAGGGTGGAATCTGGATCCCATGGAGGGAAGGGCTCTTGGAATTCCTCTACCTCAAAAAGGAGAAAGTGATGAGCAGCAAAGGAATTTTTACAGCTTGTTATGTGATGAAAAATTGATCTAAAAGGATCTAATTCCACATGAGTCATAGGAAGTTGGATGGCACTTGGACAACCTGGTCTAGTGGAAGATGTCCCTGCCCATGGCAGGAGGTGGAACTGGATGAGCTTTAAGGCCCCTCCCAGCCCAAACCATTTCATGATTCCACGACTCCCCATCCTCACTGCGCAGATTTACATCCCAATTCACAAAAAGCACAACAAAAAGATGCTTCTCAGTGTGGGGAAAACCAAGAACGGCCACAGGGAGCACTTCACCACTGGAAGAGCTGCCAGAAAACTGCAAATCAAGGGGAGAGGTGAAATTGGAAGGAGGAATTAAAACACTGGCATTTCCAGAGGGGAGGAGGGGCCGGTGCTTTCCTCACCCACTGGGGGAGGTCACCCAGAAGGGAGCAGCGTGGTCAGAGCCGGGCTCAGGGGACCCCGCAGGGCCCGTTCCCAGCACGGCCCGCAGACAGCCCGACGCCTTCGCAAGGAAAAGGCTGGCGGGACATGGAGCAGCTCTGCACCGGGGGCAGCGTGGCCAGGGAGCACAGGCCAGACCTTAGAGCTGCTGCAGAGGAAACGGGAGCAGAACGCGCTGCCTGCCTTGCCCGGGGTGCACAAAGAGCAGATATCCTGCCATGCACCCCCCCGGCCCCGGGCAAACGCCGAGTCAGCAGGTCCTGCACTGCTGCCCTGGGCCGAGCTGCTCCACTTCCTCCCCTCCCACAATCCACAGCCCCGGCACAAATGCATTTTGTGCCTGGGAGGTTGTTCTGGCACCTTCCAGAAACAACAGCGCAGAGGAAGAGCGTTTCCACAAAGAGGATCTATTCTGGTGCCACAGGAACCAGGAGCAACGTGGGAGAGGAGGGAGCTGTAGGAAACGGCTGAAAACATTAAATGCTTTAAAAGGATTTTTGTTGTTTCTTATCTTAGTGGGGAACCAGGGGCTCAAATGGCTCGGATTGAAGCCCCTTTGATAGTTGCACATTTGGAGTTCAGCTGCGAGCTCCCGGAGCAGCGGGTACGGGCACACGTGGCAGCCGGAGACAGGCTGGGCTGTCCCTGAGCCGCCCTCACCCCCTCCTCACCTACCCCCGCCCCAGCTGAAGAGCAGAATAAAGAGGGCCACGATTTGGCTTCATTCCACGGAGATGCTTATGCCATGGAAAAGCAGGCGGGTTGTGCTCAGGGGACCACCGAGGCAAATGAAGGAACGGGACTGAGGGCTGCAAGGACTCGAGAGCTCAAGGAACCAATCCAGGCAGAGGAGCCACCAATCCCCAGAGCATCCAGAGAGATCCTGCAGCGAGGGGAGGCTCAGCACTGCAAGGCACATCTGAGCCAAGGGGAGTGATCTCCCCCAGAGCCAGTGACCCCACTGAGAGCAGAGCCCTTTCTGCAGAAGGCCCTCTCAGCACAGACACAGGAGAGGCTGTGGGAAGCCCTGGGGCAGCTCAGCAGGGCCAGGGCCATCTCCCGGGAGCCACGCTCGGAGCACGGACAGGAATCCAGCAGAGGAAGTTCACGCGGCCGTTTCCTCGGCCGGTCGCGCTCCCCTGGCCCTCCTTCCTCCCAGAAATGATCCAGCCCTGCAGAGCAGAGCCATTAGCTCAGCCCTGTCCTGCAGCCACGGGAAGCAAACACGCTGCATTTGTGTGGCGTGGCGCCATCCCCGTCCTCCTCCTGGACACCGGCGAGCGCTCCGAGGGACGGAGTCATGGCGAAGGAATGCAGAGCCCCGGTCACTGCCAGCCCCCTCCTCGGAGATGCTGTGTTTGGGGGGCTGCACCCCTGGATGTGCTGCTGGGGAAGGTGTGCTGGCCCCTGTGCTGCCAGGGAAGGGCAGAGGGAATCTCTTTTCCACTCGCACAGGGGCGAGCCCAGGGGTCACTTCCTGACCTCCGGCAGCTCCTCTTCCCCAAGTGGGACAAGAGCAACTCCGGCCTCCCTAGGAGGGGCCTCTCGGACAAGCTTGTGTCAACACTGGGAAGGCAACACCTTCCTGCTGGCAGCTCCACACTGCTCACAGACCCCCACACGGCCCAGAGCAGCTCTGCCAAACCGGGGCTCGCGGGGAGCAGCGGGACGCGGACCTCTACAGCAACAGATGCTAAACCACAAGAAAGGGAACGCTCTCCCTGCTTCACTCACAGCGCTGTGTGCCTGACTCTGGGCCTTTTAACTGCTCTGGGACCTGCCTTTCCAACCCAACCCTTCCAACCAGGGCACTCCCAGCCCAGCTGAGCAGCAGCTCCAATCCTTCCCAGCTCCTCAGCAGAAGCCCTTTGCTGGCCAGCAAACATCTGCCCATTTCCCTCCCCCATCTGAAATCCTCTTCATTGCTTTTAGTGTTCCGCAGGCTCAGTTTGCACCTCTCCTGTAAAAACCTGGCCTTTCACGTCACCACCTGCCCCACACTGGACGCTGCTGGGTGCCAGAAGTGGCCCGATAAAAGCAGCCAGTCCTCAGCAGCACAAGAGCCAAGATAACCCAGAGAAGTGCAAAAGCTGGCGCTGAGGTTTGCTGCTCTGAAGGAGCTAAAGCTGATGCAGGGAAGGAGGGAGAACGTCCCTGTACCCTGTTTGGACAGGGACAGGAAGGGAAGGACAGCTGAGCCCAGGGCTGGCATTCTCCCCCTGCCCGCCACCTTCCTCAGGAGCTGACTTTGATGGAGTGGAGCACCTGATCAAAGGAGTGCAGGAATGAAGGAGGAGACCAAAGACAGAGCTCCAGGGAAAGAATAAATGAGCCTTTGCAAAGACCTGGAGGGAGGAGAGGGTGGGCTGGGAGCTGGGCTGTGGAGGCAGGGAGGTGCTGAGCAGGGCGGGCAGGTGTGTTCTCGCTCCGAGCAGGAATGCAAACCTGACAGGCCATGGATCACTCAGGGAAGGCTGGACAGCTTGCTGCCAGCCCCTCGACAAGTAACCCGGGGCCTGATGCTTTAGATAAGCCCTTCCTCCTTTGTGGGGATTTCTGCAGGACAAACATCCCCCTGAGCCTCGTGACCGGCTCTGGGGTCAGGCATTGTGAGGGCCCCAGTGTCCCACCCCAGCAGCCGGGCTGAGAGCTCAGCCTGTCCTGAGTGCAGCCCCGAGGCACTGCAGGGAAACGCTCTGGCTCAGCCGGAATAGAAAGCAATTCTTGAAAGTGCTCTTTGTTTCCCTGAAAAACCCAGGCTGGCATTCAGACTCCTGCTTGGGGTTTCGCTCAAAGAAGTTCGGAGCTAAGTGTCAGAATTCAGAGTGAAAGCTGGAAAGTTGGACTACTTCCTTGTGTCAGGGAAAGCACAGGGCAGAAAAAAAACACACCCTGCTTAAAAAATTCACGTAGGTTTGCAAAGCCACAAGTCATTAAGCAGAGAACAAGCCACCAGTTCTGTGGGCCCCACAAAAACGTGCTGCTCTCCCCTGCTGACTCCACACTGTGCCCAAAACCTTATTCCCAGCCCAGCACTGTCCTGACTGGGAATGTTGGGGCAGAGGCCTGTGAAAAAGGCAGTGGATTAAATTATTGTTCGGGAAAAAACCCAAAACCTCTTAATTTCAGCCCACGGTATTTGCAGGAGCAGAGAGATCAAGCCCAGCAAAGAGCCACTTTGTTTCGGTCCCTGAGGAGGCCAACTCAAACTGGAGCAAAAGGAAAAGTTAAACTTCTACCAGCCTCTGAACGACCCCAATCCCTCAGAAAATCAATTCCTGAAGCAACACCTCTATGTGTGTGTTCCTTTTTACTATTATTTTGGTTGAAAGCAGAAAGCTGAGGGTCGGCAGCACAAACCACATCGCGCAGCCCTGTTTGTTTTACCCAGCCCGGGCAGGTCGGGATGTGAGGCTTTAAGGTTTTACAGGCTGCCTGGATTTCCTGTTCTGAGGATCCAAAACCTGAATCCCACCCCGAGGAGGACTGGAAGCAGCATTTTATGCACAAAATGACTGTTTCACTTGCTGCTGGAAGGACAAAAAGAGCTGGTGTTCCAGCTTGGGCCAGCACCTCTGCCACTGTCTGTGCATCCCCAAGCGGTGGACACCCACCCAGAACAGCTCCCACCTGTACTGGGCAGGCTGGGGGGGGAGGCTGGAGGAGGTGCTGAGCAGTTTCTGTGCTGAAGCCAAATGAAGCACGTTCCCAGGCTCTGCAGAGGGCTTAGGGGGATGTCAAGCAGCATCAGCACTGACCTGTGAACAAAGCGCATTCTTGTGGATCTTCTTGTAAATAAGAGCTGGGCAGATGAAACAAATGAGGCTTCCCATGGTCGCACCTGTCAGGCCCAGGACTGTTTCCACTGGAGAAAAAGAGGAAAAGTCAGCAAAGGTCTTTTCCAGGAGTGCCAGAGCAGCAGCACGGGACAGCTGCCAGAGCCCCCGGGCAGGATGGGGTGTGAGTCTGATCACCCCAGCCAGGAAAACAAACAACAGAGCCCAGAGAAAGCAGCCAGCCCTTGTTCCCAGCTCCTCACTCACCATTGGGGATCATGATGCCTCCGACCATGGTTCCAAACACAACAGCCAGCGTCAGGGCTTTGAAGCGCAGCGGGGGCATGTAGCCCCCGGCAGCGAAGGTGCCGTCCTTCTGCTGGGAGGGCAAGGGTGCAGGGGAGAGTTAGCTCTGGTATTGCAGCCCCCAGACCCTCAGCAACTCCCTCAGCCCCCCAGCAACTCCCTCAGCAATGCTGCCTGCAGCTCCAGCCCATCCCAGCTGTGATCCCCCCAGCAGGCACTCAGGGAACAGCCCAAGGGCAGGAGGAAGGAGCTCAGGGGTGCAGCAGGAGGGAGAAGCTGCAGAGGAAGAGCTCTGGCTGTGCTAGGGAGAGGTGTTCCCCAACAGCTCTGGGAGCAGGGCCATCCCCTGCACAGTCTGACATGGAGACACCCCGGGGAGAGCACAGGGGAGGGTGGGTGCTGCTGGGCAGCTGCTGGAGGAATTCCAGAGGCCGTCTGCTTCCCATCCCATCCCACCTCCCGAGTGGGAGGTGTGGAAGGCAGAGGCCCCAGTGTGCCCTGCAGACCCAGCGGGTCCCAGCTCTGCTGCTGCTGCACAGATGGGGGAGGAAGGCAAAGCGACACCTCCAGAGCCCAGCCAGCCACGAGCCGAGCCCAGGAGAGATCCAAAGCGCTCCCAAGTGTTTCCAGCGCTTCCTCCTCTGCACCCGCTGGCTCTCACCGAGCCTGCCCCCATCCTCAGGCCCTCCCAACGTGAGAAAAGAGCCGGGGGCTTCTCACAGGCAGAAGTGGCAGGATTTAGGGCTATAAATTGCTCAAGTTTTATTTCCTGCCTAAGAGGTTTCTATTTATGCGGATACACAAAGGCCTCAGAACATTCCCACAATCTCCCAGTGTTATTTGCTGAATCCCATCGGCGCGCTCCGCGCGCACAATGCACAGAGGAGAACGCGCCACTGCCACAAGGGACCCACAGTCTCCAGCACACAGACCAGCCTCAGTCACAAAGGCTGCCTGAGGAGCTGGCCCTGGGAAAGGTGGAACGTGTGGGAGAGGGCTGGATCCCACATCCCACCGCCCGCCCCGGCACCGCAGCCCGCGAGGCGCTGGAGGAAGGGGACATCCGAACCCAGGGAGGAAAGGGCTGCTCCAGGGCTGCTGACAAAGGTGCTGGGTGAGAATAATGCAGCAGGAATCAGCAGGCACACAAGGAAGCAAGAAGAAAAGGGGCTGGGCTGGGCTCCGAGGCCGGGAACGGGAGCTTGAGCTCAATGAGTTGGCCAGCAAAGGGACAGCAGCTGGAGCAGCAGGAAGTGAGGAGGCTCTGCTGCTTCCAAAAGCACATTTCTCCCTTTTTCTGAGGGGAAGAAACCACCTCGGCTCTGAGCTGTGTAATGTGTCTGTGTCAGAGCTGGAATCCCCAGCAGAGCAGGGAACAGCAGCCACGGGACATGAGCTCTACACTGGGAACTCACTCCTTTGGCCCATGGAATTCCTCTGCAGAGAGGACACAAACCTCCAAGTGCCAGGGATTAACCACTGAGCAGAGCAGGATTTAGAGATGGATACAGGCCCCTGCTGCACTGTCACCACACCCTGGGCACTGAGGATTTTTTGGGAGTTGAGATTTTGTCCCTTGGGATAGCCAGTACCTGCCACATGCCATTACCACCAGAATCTCAGGGAGCCAAGGCAGGTTTGGGGCCCAGTCAGAGACCAAAGAGTCACAAAAACCCTTCAGAAATCATGCTTCACACTAAGGCATGGGACCTTACCTGCTGCTCAAAGAGCAGGGTGTTGAGAGCCTGTCTGCAGGGCAGGATCATCATGGGGAACCCCACTGCCACGGACATCATGAACCCCACTCGGATCATCTCCGTCACCACGTTGGAAGGGAAGTTCATCAGCACGTTCCCAGCAATGGCCTCGGTGTAACTCACGTAGCCAAAGAAGCCCACCTGGAGAGGGGAGGGGGGTTGGGCTCCCAGCATTTCACACCTGCTCCTCACGGAGGGGACACGACAGTGACCTCCCGTTGGAGCAGCCAGGCGGGAGCGTGAGGTCACTCCAGGGGCACCCCAAAACCTGGGACAGATGGTTAATCAAGAGTGGGAACTGCCTCAAAGCAAGTTTCTCATCAAATCCAGGGGTTTTCCTAGAGGAAAGGGTTTTCCCTTCTTGCTGCCAGGCCTGTAGACTGTCCCTCTCCAACAGAGAGCGGGGGCTGTCACAATTCCCTGCAGCAGCCTGGCTCATGGGCCAAGGCTCTCCTCAGGAATTATTAACCCAGTTTTATTAACTGCTGCCTTATGAGGCATAACTTCCTACCAAACAGGCTGGAAAAAGCTCTCCCAAACTCTGGGCAGCAGCCCCTGCTCCAGGCTGGGCCTGGGAAGAGCTGGGTTTCACTCTGCCTCCAAGGAAACATGCTGCTCTGAAAACCTGGATTCTCCCAGTGCCCCCCGTGCCCTTGGGTTCATCACCTCCCACCTAACTCTGCTTTCAGCATGAGGACTTATCTGTCAGAGTAAACAGAGATAAGCAGAAAGCAGCCCCAGCTGTAGATAAAGCCTCATCCCTGTGGCCCCTCCAGATTTCTGGCAAGGGAAGAGAAGGGGAAGTTCCTACCATGATGTAGAAGGTGGTGACCACGTTTAGGGAAGAAGCAAATATGGAGCTCATGATTTTGACAGACGGCTCATCCAAGCTGTCGTAAGTAGGCAAGACCTGACTGTAAAAAGGGTAAAATATTTAAGGGAACCTGCAGGAAACGGGAGAAAAACCCCCAGTCCCAGCCCAATCTCTGCCTCAGCCCAGCAGCAACGAATCCCTGACACCTTCCCCCTCTGGAGCATAAACACCTGCTGCTATTCCACAATTTATACTGCCAATGCCAAGAGATTTCAGAGCACTCATAACTTTTAAGTGTTGCAAAAATATTGCTGCTCTCCCCACCCCACCACGTGGAGCGAAACGTGTGATGTAAACATTTGGGTTCAGGAAGGGTTGCAAAATGAATGACCGTTTGTTCCCGGGGCCACGGGTGGCTCCGGGCCAGCCCCAGCGCCAGAGATTATTGTTCTTGGAGCTCTCCGTGCTGATAATTAAAGCAACACAGTGTTTACAGAGGAAAAGAGGGAAAGAAGGTTGGAGCATCCCACTGTCTGAAGGAAAATTAAACAAACAAACCCCAGCGCAGCCTGTCCTACTTCAGCTCGCTTCACAGAAAGCCACAAGTGCCAATTCCCTGGGATTTGGGGTATTTACAGCCTTGGAAAGCGTGGGGAATGTTCCTTTTGACATCAGGTGCATATTTTAGCAACTCATTAACCTCTTGTTACTTTAATTCTAGCGGCCACATCCCGGAACTCTGGGGAGATGGGAAGGGTATCCCCAGCCCCAGTGGGCACCAAGCCATTCCCAGGAAGTGTGTCAGGCTGGGGCCCTGCAGAAACATCCTTAACCTTTAATTCCTGAATGTGAAAGGAGGCTCTGGGGCTGGAGGTACCAGCAGGGAGCAAGGACTTCCCTGGGGGACTCCATCTGGGATTCCTCCCTGAGACTGAGGAGACTGGCTTCCCTGGGAATCTCTCCTTTTGGGGTTTCTCCCTGGGAGTGAGGAGACTGGCTTCCCAAAGTCCCTCCATTCAGGATTCCTCCCTGGAGAAAGGAGATTGGCTTCTCTGGGAGTCTCTCAATTTGGGATTCCTCCCTGGAGAAAAGAGACTGCCTTCCCTAGGAAATCTCTCCTTTTGGGATTCCTCCCTGCCCTCTCCACAGCCACCTCCAGCTACATTCTGGCCTTCAACTTCCAAGGGAAGGGTCCAGCCAAACATTCAGGCTTGGGAAGGTAAAAAGAGGGAAACAGGGAGGCTCTGCAGTGTGTGGGATGGTTAAAAAGGTGATTCAGAGGTGAGTAAAGTTAAATCTACCCAGCTGAGGCTACATAGATAAACTACACATAAAGAAAGGAATAAAGTATATTCAATATATGGTGGGTAGAGAGAGAAAGAGAGAGAATACACAGATGGAAAGAAATTTTAAAAAAATATATAAATACTGCCTGGGCTGGGGACAGGGTATTTTCCTGGTGTTTGGAGAAAACACACAGCTTTAGATTGGGTTTGCCACAAAAGCGCTGCCATGGAGCCCATATTTAGGCACACACACAGGTCCAGACCAAACTATTTCCCTGCATTTCCAGCTCCCAGGAAAATTGTTCTGGGTACCGCATGGCTTCCATAAGGAAAAAATAAAAGGGATTTGTTAACAAGGTAAAGCTGCAAGAGAACACAATTCCCTTTGCCAGTTGTAATGGAGACATTAAACAGCAAGCCTGGAGTGTGCCGGGGTAGGATCTGAGCTGCCAAGAGAGCCAGTAAGTGGGAAATGATGATTTGGATCTTGGAGTGGGTGTAAACACAGCAGTCTGAGCAAATTTTATCTGTCACATTCATTTACTGTTGGCACGAGACCCGTTAGCTGGAGCTACAAGGGGGAAGCCCAGCTCTGCCAGAGGAGGATGCTCCTTCCAGAGCAGGCCAGTCCTCCCCTGCCCAGGGCTGGATTTACAGGGGTTAGGGCTGTCACACAGCACCCACCTGCTGTCCCGTGCAGCAGGGAATGCTGCTGGAAACCTGGGACAGCCTGGCCTGCCCTCACCTTCTTCCACTTGTCACAGAAACCCTCCCAAAGCCAGGGAACCGGGCAGGTGGAAATGGCCTGGTCTGCTCTCAGCTCCTCCCACGTGCCACTACACCCAGGGAGCTGGAAATGCAGGAGTTATACAATGATCTGGAAATGCAGGAACACCCCTCCAAAGCCAACACCTGTGTCACCTTCAGGGTGCTCCCCAGGAAATGTGGGGAGCAGAGCAGAGCAGAGCAGCCCCCAGCATTCAGGGGGTCACACAGAGGGTGGCACAGCCTTTCCTGGTGCCCCTCCATGCCCTTCAATGCCCCCAGCATTCAGGGGGTCACACAGGGGGTGGCACAGCCCTTCCTGGAGCTCCTCCATTCCCTTCAAGGACCAGGGGAATTTCATCCCTCCTGCAGCTGCACCAGAAGCTCCCGAGGAGCTGTTTGGCTCCAGTGCTCTCATGTTGCTCCATTACAAGAACTCCCAGGTGAAATGGAACAACAAAAGGGTCTGGGTAACAAAAGGGTCACGACTGAATGAGAGGCTGAACTTCAGTAAAGCAGCCTGATGAAAACAAACCACCAAAGCAGATGGTATCTATCCCTTGCAGACCCTCCTGACCCTGTGCCCCCACACAAACCCACTGCAGGAGCAAGTGCCAGGGCTGGGGAAGGCAGGTACTCACGACTGGCAGGCAAAGGACATTCCAAAGATGGGGATGCAGCGGAAAATGCCCTCCCAGCGCACGTAACTGACCCTCTGCAGCCACTGCCCGCTGAACAGCCCGTGGTTGAAGGAGGACAACACCACCTGCAGCAGGACAGACAGCAGGGGTGAGCAGCCAGCCCCAGACAGCTGCAGGGCAGCAGCAATGCCAGGCTGGGATAACCCGAGCTGCCAGCACAGCCCCGTCCCAATCCCCCAGCTCCACACCCCACCCACACAGCCCCCAGGGCCACCAGGGATCCCAGGAGCATTCCAAGGGATCTGCGACATTCCCCCTTGTTTGATGGCATCACAGCACACACAGTTTCCACCAACTGTGAGAATCATTGTTCAAAGCAACCTCTTTTGCACTTTTTGAAATGTGTTTTTAAATCCAAACAGGAAGCACTGCTGCCCTTGGAGAATCCTGTTCAGCAGAGAGAGACAAAGGGTCCTAAAACAGGACCCCACCTGCTGCTCCAGGGCCATTTAACACCAGCAGCTCACCAAAGAGAAGGAAAAGCTTTATGGAAAGAGGGAGGAGCCGAGGCCAGGGAGCTCCCTTGCCATGGACACAAGAACTGGCAGGAGTTGGGTTGCACAGGAAGCAGAAGGTAAATATGTCTGACTGTCTGTTTATAATATCCTTGGATGGGGTTTCTAATCCCCAGAGATGGTTCAGTGCAGCCAGCTCTCGTGAACGTTGTGGTTTCTTAAAGGCACAGCTCCTGGGAGGTTCCACACCTCCCTGAGGGGGCAGCTCCGAGGTGTGACCCTGCACAGCCTACTAGAAACGTTACATGGAGAGAATCCCCACAGCTCCCTTTCCTTCCAGTCCTGAAATTTGGGTGAGACAGGGCTGGAGCTCCAGGAGGGAATCGCAGGAGCATCTGGGATGTGAAACTGGTCACCAAAAAGGAACAGAAAGGAGGGAAAGGGGGTGCCCGCTGTCCGTACCCACCACGAACATGAACACGCTGTAGAAGATGAGAGCCATGGCACTGAAGGACTGGATGGAGGCCATCATGTTCCTCTGCAGGCTCAGGGGAAGGACGATGCACAGGGACACAGCGAAGAGCAGGACGATGCGGAACGGACCTGACACCTGCACAACACACCTGCATCAACACCTGCACGGGGAGCACACCCCACACACCCCCAGGCAGCAAACCCTGGCATGGCTCATCTTCCCAGAGGGAAAAGCAACTTCAAACAGTGCAATCCTGTGTCTGGAGGTGTTTGGAGATGCTGCAGGCTCGGGCTCTGTCTGTGCTGAGCTGAGCAGTCACTGGGTGCCACTGTTGCTCTGCAGTGTGTGACAGGTCCGAGCTGGAAGAATTTGGGGGGTGGCTGGGGGGGTTAAATGCTAATCCAGCACAAGCTATTTAGGTATTTTCATGCAATTAAATAAAACCTAAATTTACTTGGGGAGACGAGAAATTGAAAGTGTTGAAAACTCCAATCCAGAAAATTAATCAAAGCCTCACACTGCTATTTATTATAGCAGAACACTCTGGAATGCTTGGAAATATTTAATACCTAATTTGGCTGCAGCCTCAACGCATCTTTTTTAACTTCACAGTCCCTTAATCTGAGCTTAGGAGCATCAGGCAGCACAGATAACACTCCACCAAAAATCCTTTTGCTTCCCTGCACGGCCCTCGTGCCGGCTCTGAGGAGCACCTCTTGCCTCTGAGCACCCTGAGCCAGCAGCAGGCTCATCACACGGCTGAGGAGGCAGGAACACAGAGACTCTGGCCACAAAACCAGCCAGGGACAGGACAAAAATCCCTCCTGAACTACAGGGAGGAGAGCTCAGGCAGAGGAACTGCCTGTCACTACCCACTGGGGCAGGAATTAAGGCAGGAAGCATTATCTCCCCCAAGGAATCTGCTCCAGAATTAATAAGGGACCAAGTTAAAAAGAATTCCTTTGATGGAAATGCCTTATTGGAGTTTTACACAGCTGATTGTTTGCCATATGTCTGAGCTCCCCACACTTCCCAGAGCAGAGGCTCCATGCATGAGGATCCCTCTGTGAGGGGACCCCACAAAGCCCCCTGAGACCCCAGGGTGCTGAGCAGGAGCTCTGCTGTCCCCAGGGCTCAGTGCAAGGGCTGGGAGCACTGCAGGAGTGATTTATTCACCTGCAATCCGAGCATCTGGGCAAAGAAGTTGGAGCCCAAATCGCCGATGACGACGTAGAAGGCGATGCAAGTGCCCAGCATCAGCCCAATCATGCTGCAAACACAAACAGGGACAGGTTAGCAGGGCCACATTCCATCCTCAGTGCTGGGAAGGGCAGGACATCCCCCTTCAGCACTCCATCCCAACAAAACAGCCACCAGAGAACCTCCCTCCACACCAAACACTCGGGGATGCAGCTCTGCCCACAACCGACACAGGGGTTTAACTCCTGTTGGGAGCCACGGGGGAAAAAACCAAGGAAAACTAATCTTGGAGATGACAAGAACTCCTTGAACTCCTGGAACAATTCAAAAGAATCAGCACGAGGCTCTCAGAGCCCCACACCCACTGCAGGACCCTGCCATGAGAGTCTCAATATCCAGTGGGCTCTCCAACGTCTCTCCACACAATGGACCACACTTTAATGAAAAGATTGTCCATGAACTGCTTCTCCTCCCACTCCTGGACCACTTTCCTTCCCAATTCCAATTATAGAACATCCCTGTGGCAATTACAGCCTCTGCTTGCATGGACAAGTAACATCTGAGGAATATTCTGTGTATTTTTAGTGCTGAGCAGAAGTTTGCAGCTGGGAAGAGCCAAGGAGCCGGCACCGCTGCCGGCCCTGGGCTCACCGTGCCTGGAAAAGAATCCCTGCTGGAAAAAGCAGGGCTGTGAGCATTGTGCCATCACCTGACATCTGCACTGGGGTCATGGGAGGAAGCAGAGATGGAGGCAGGACTCCCCCTGAAGGCATCTCACAGGGCAGGGAGCACAGAGGGCAGGAGCAAAGCAGATCCTGGGATCCAAGGCAGCAAACACTCCCTCCCACCAACCCACCAGCAGGGATGGCACCCCTGGAGAGCTGCCACGAGTGACACGCTGGGATTTCACAGCACAGCTCATCCCTTCCTTCCTTCTGTGCTCCCAGAGCCAGGGAAATGCTGGAAGGGATGGAGGTGACACCTGGAGCTGTGCTCAGGGCATCTCACCCAGCTCCTGTGGGATTCCAGCAGGAAGGAGAGCACAGCAAGGCTCAGAAAGGCTTCCACCACAGACACCCAAACGGTTCACGCTTTGAATCAGCAGCAGATTTACCTTGTTTCCACCAACATTTTTCCTGCTTTTCCATAGGCATGAAATGCTGGCATAAAAGGGAAAAAAGAGTGGAAGTTAGTCAAAGAAAGGTCCAGAACAGGGCAAGATGTCAGTTCACAATTAGACACCAGCAGTGACACAGGGCATTGCAGCAGGAACCCACCACTGGTATTTTGGGGCCGTTTCCCTCACCCTCCCACTTTCTTTTTCAGCCTTTCCCTTTGGAAACTGAAAACCACATAAGACAGGAGCAGGGATGAGGGAAAGCCAGCAAGCAGGTTCTTTTTTTTCTATTTAAAACCAGAAGTGGTGTGAAGCAGCAGCCACACATGGCAGCCATTAAAGGCAATGGGAGAGAAAATATTCCTGTACAAGATTGTGTGTGGCGAAAGTTAAAGTGGTGCAGAATTCCAGTCCAAGTCCCCTTTTTATTTTTATCTTCCCCCTCGAACTGGGCTGCCCGACATGGCTGGCTGGGAGAGCTGAGCTGGTGCCCAGAACGTTCAATCCCATTCCCAGAATACCCAGTGCTCCCAACCCACACCAAAGGGCTGCTGCCAAGGCTGTGCTTTCCCTCCCTCCCACCCCGGGGGTTGGAGCCCAAAATGCTCACTAGTCCTCAAATCGCTGGGTTTTCTCTTAAAAAGACAATGCCAAGAAAACTTTGCTTCTATTTTTAGCTCCTGCTGGGCAGAACGGGAATGGGGAGCTGCGGTGCCAAACCCAGACCACAGTGCCCAAATCTGCCAGTGAGGTCCAGCATGAACCCACCAGCCTGGAGTCCCCTCTGCCTTCCCTCAAGGCACAGCCCAACATTCCCAGAGCCCGCCAGAAAACAAACTCAGATCCTTTCTGGAAGCTTCTTCTGCTACTTTAAATATTAGCTTCAACTCTTGATTTCCTTGGACTCTTCTCCAGCTAAAAGCTCAGGAAACGAGATGTTCTCCCACAGAACGAGCAAAAGGCACGGCAGGGACCCACAGCCCCGAGCAGGGATGTGGGGGAGCACCCAAAATAGCAGCTGGATCAGTGACAGGGCAGTGGGACAGGCGCCACCAGGCAGCGTGCCCGGGCACGGGGAGCGGCCTCCTCTGGGAATTCACAGCCAGGAGGGAAAAGGCAACAGCTCTGGGGGGGTCAGGCCCACAGACAAAGGGGCTGGGAGGAGAAAGAGGAGCCAGCAAGAGGAAAACATCCCTCTGGAGATGGGGCAGTAACAGGCTGAGCTCGGGGTGGGGGGATAGAGGAACGGGGCTGCTGATCCTCCCAGAGCACATTCCAGCCTCTGGATACGGACACAGCCCTGGGTGATGCTGGAACCAGCCCATCTCCCCTGTTTGGAACTGATGCTCAATGAGAACAAGCCTCCAAACACTGTGGGCAGGTGTCCCCACCTGGGGACAAGGGAAAAATGGGATTCTTTACCTTCTCCAGGAGGTAGCGACTGTAAAATAAATGGCACAGTCAAATCCTTGGAATGGGATTTTGGAATGCTCCCAAACTGGGCAGAGCTTGCTCAGTACCTGGAGAATCCTTTCAAACCAGTGTGGTTCCTGGGACAGAGCTTCATCCCCCTGGCCCTGCAGGGCTGAGCTGCCCAGCACAGCCCCAGCACATCCTGAGCGCTGCTGGAAGGGGAGGGATTCCCTCATCTCCTGTAAAAACCCATCTGGGATCTTCCTGCCCTTCCCTCCTCACCCTGCAGCCCTTCCCCTTCCCTCAGCAGTGAGGGGCAGTGCCAGCCCCGGCCTGGGCCAGCCTTTGTGCCCGTGCCACGGCTGCTGGGGTTCCTCCGGAAGGCTGTGCCCGCCTGCAGGGATTGTGCACAACCTCCCTCGGTGCCAAAGCCTCCCAGGAGTGCCCGCAGATGTCCCCGGGCCCGGGCCGAGGGGACAAAGGGCTCTGTGTGGAGCTGCCCGAGCCCGCAGCATTGGGATGCGCGTGGCACCTCTGCCAGGGCCCGGCGGCGGGCACGGCGCTGCTGCCAGCCCCCGCTGCCAGGAGGAAGCTGGGAGACACTGCTGGCCCTCCCTGTATGGCAGCCCTCGGCTCCTGGGCGGGCAGAGGATCCCTTCTCCCCGGGACACGCTCCAAGGCGCGGGGACTCCGCGTCCTGCGGGAAGCGGCGCACAAAGGCCCCTGTGAGGGGCAGGGAGCAGCGGCAGCTGGGAGGGGGCTCCCCCTTCCTTCCCCCTGGCACCAGAGCAGCCCCCCAGCCACGGGGCTTCTCCCTCTTGTCCGCTCCTAGCAGATACAAGCAGGCAGAGGCCGGGATGTGCTTCCTGAGCAGCACCTCGGGCGCCCCGAGGGAGGAGCAGCCCCGTCTGTCAGCAGCTGCTGGAGCCCTGTGCCAGGGCAGTGCCAAACAGCGCCTCCTCCCACGCAACAGCACGGCAGGACGAGGGAAAGGAGACTTTTCCTGCTGCTCCATATGCCAGCAGCAAGGAGAGGAACCCAAACACCTCCTCCTGCTCCCCAGGGCAGCCAGAATCCCAAGAGAGGCCACGAGCAGAGGCCAATCCCGGCGCCAGCGCTCAGCTCCGAGGTTTTGGCACGGCCAAAACCCACCCAGGGATCTTCCAGATGTTTTTGTTTTCGCAGCCCTCTGGAAGCTCGCTCTGTTTCCTCTCTGCTGAGCCATAAAGGAGCTCCCAGCTCTGTGCCAGGCTGGCAGGACCCGCTGTCCCGGCAGCACTGGCTGGGTGGGTGGGGAGCTCGTGCCCAGACCCATAATTAATTCATCCCAGCCCCACAATTCATCCCAGCTGGCTCCCGGGAGCTGGGGTTTGGATCCTCTCCTCCCTGCCCTGCAGAGTCAAAACAACTCAGCACCCATTACCAGGGCTGTGGGAGCAGGATCCAACCCAGCACCGCCCCGGGGAGAGGCTGAGGCACAACAGGGAAACTGGGAACTGCAGCAAGAAAGGAACATTTGTTGTTCCAGCAGCAACAATGAGGAAATGCAGCCTGGGAGGCCCAGGAAGGTCGTGGTGCTGTCAGAGCAGCAGCAGGGCTGGGAGCAGCCCCAGGGCCGGGGTCTCACCGAGGCCGGGGTAGGTCCTGCGCTTGCTGAGGTTGGCTGATTTCACCAGGAACATGCAGGACTGGTGGGTCATCCACGAGCAGAAGATCAGCAGCATGGCTCCCAGGAGGATCCCACACTGCAAAGGAGCAGGGCAGGACATGGGGGTCAGCCCCCCAGCACAGCCCAGCCACCCTCCCTCAGCACCCTCAGCCTCCCCCCCGTGTTCCAGCCACGTTTTTCCCTCTCTCAGGAAGTTCTGTCCCCTTCCCACCAGCTCCACATCACCCTGTCCACGGCCCAAGGACACGTGGAACACACACCTGCTTCCCACAGCTCCCAGCTGCACCAGTCTGAGCCCTGAGCACCAAACTGGGAGCACAATTCCCACCCTGGCTCACCCCCCCAGGGAGCACAGACAGAGCCCGAGGTGCCACCTGTGCTGCAAACTGATTTATCCACAACCAGCTGGCATCACACACTGTCCCTGGGCAGGGCTGGCACCCACGGGCACCCAGCAGGGCTTGGCACAGCCCCAGATGCCAGGGAGAGGCAGGGGGCACAGTAACCTGGAAGAGCCTCCAAGTAATGTTTATCATGTGGGCAAACCCCTGGATTTCATTCTCCCTTCTCCTTACAAGAGAGGCAGAAATGATCAGAGACCACAGGGCAGGGAAAACTCAGAGTGTGCAGCAGAAGTTTTGACTTGGAGACGTCACCGCCGAGACAAACGCGGTGTTTGGAACACGAGATGCCCGCTCTGGGTCTCAAGCGTTTCTTTCACTGACTTTCCTCTCCAGCCAGGGAACCACCCCACACCCGGCCAGAAGGGCAGAGGCGGCCGCTGCCCGGCCCTGGAGGGGCCCGCGGGGGCTTTCGGCTGCCAGGGGCACGGCCCGGCCCCGCCGCAGCCCGGGCACACCGGCCGCTCCCGGCGCTCACCTGTCGGAAGCAGAAGGGCACGGTGAGCACGCTCACCCCCACGATGCTGTTCACCACGTTCATGATCAGGCCCCAGTTGGAACCCGCCGCCGCCGCCGCCATGGCCCGCGGCAGAGGATCCCCGCGCCGGAACACCCGGTGTGCGGCCGCTGCCCGAGCCCCGCGGCCGGCTCGGAGCGCCCGGTGCCCCCGGTCCCCCTCAGCCGGCCGTGCCCGCCATGGCCCCACCGGGCACGCCCCGACCCGGCACCGGCCACAGCGGCACTTCCGGCTTCCGCCGCCGCCGCAGGAAGTGACGTGTCCGCGTGGGGCCGCTCCTGCCGCCCGGAGGTCTGGACTCGCTGGTGGTGGAGGACCAAGGGGGGTCCCCGTGCTTGGGGGCGCCCCCGGAGAGCCCAGCACGGCCAGGGAGGTGCGGAATGCACCAGGACACACATCCGTGCAGATCCGTGCATGGAAAGGCACGGAGAGGGGTGTGCGTGTGCCTTTATACGCGTGTGTGCACATACACACATGAGCGCACAGCTCGCAGCAGCGGTGGCGCCCGAGCGGGGGTCCCTGGGCTGATGGCGGCCTCTGAAAAGCCCCTCGAGGGTAGAACATGACCCCTGACATCCCCTCCCCCTGCACGTCTGGGCACGCATCCAGCTGTGCGCACACATCTGCTCCCCATCCCACCCGCAGCCATGCCCAGCTCCGCGCCCCCACATCCCACGGGAGAGGGGAAAAAGAAGGAGAGATGTGGGGTGGGATTCTTTATCTTCTCGGGGGGCTCTGGAAGGGTCCCCCGAGGCCAGGCTGGCGGCAGCTCCGGGTGCCACTCGCCAAGGGCACGTTCCCATCAGCACGGAACGTTGCACAGCGCTCGTATAATTTGCAGCAATTGCGATGGGAAACCGCAGGAATTCGCTCTCCAGAAGGTTTGCAGGGAGGTGAACGGGCGGCCTAATTCCCTCCAGGTGTGCTGCAGCATCGGTAGCTCCGGCTGCGATTTCCAGGCTCCTGTGCCAGAGCGGTGGCTGTGTCCCTGTGTGTCCTCGGGGTGGGACGAGGGATCCCCTCAGGAATGTCACCATGGCCACGAAAGGGCTCTGGTGGCTGCTCCGTGTCCGGGTGGGAGCCAGGGGCTCGGGAAATGTGCAGAGCCAGGCAGGAGTGGCAGTGACACAGTGGGGACACCAGGGGAGCTGCCCCTGTTCCGTCTGCCACCCTCCTGTGCCACGGCCCCGGGTCACATCCGTGCCCATCCCAGGGAATGGGGTGTGCTGCAGCTCCTCAGGCACCATCAGCTGCTCTGCAGCCCCAGACAGCCCAAATTCTGCCTCCAGCAGGAGCCGGGTCCGTCCCATCAGTGCCAGGTTCCCCTCACAGACCTGCTGAGAGCAAGGAGAACCCTCTGGAAAGCTCCAACCACCAGGGACCCCGACCCTGCCCTGCCGGCAGGGCACACCGGGAGCCGGCAAAGGGCCCTGAGGGGTTTGGGAGCCAGCGGCAGCGTTCCCACCGGGAATCCCAGGTGGCCCAGGGCCCTTGCCAGCCCTGCCCTGTGGCCCAGATTCCTCCCACGGAAAGCAGCCAGCCCCGGGGGATGGCACAGCCAGTGACAGTAATTAGAAATGGGGCCTCAGGGCTGGCTGAGCCCGCAGGGACCCTGCCCTGCTTTGTGGAAGCACAAATCCCTCGGGATGCCCAGGGGCTGCTCCGCAGGGATGTGCCCACATGTGCTGGCACACTCGGAGCTGAGCTGAGCCCATTCCCAGCTCCCACGGGTGATGCTGTCCCAGGACAGCACCTGGGTCCATCTCTGCTCCCACTCTTGCTCGGGATCTGCCTCAGTGGCAGCTCCATCCAGGGGCCTCCCATGAACCTCCCATGGCACGGGGATGCTCTTCCCTGGAACCATCCCTGCCCTCCCTTCTTGGGGCACACAGCACAGGGGGAATGGGCAGGAATGGGAACCCCCTCTCCAGGCCTGGGGCAAGCCCACCCACACCCCACGTCCCCCCTTCACCCCACCCAGCAGCCAGGGCCACCCTGCTCCAGGTTCCAGCGACAGATGCCTGGCAGATCCCCGGAACCAGCCGGCAGGGATTGAAAAACATAAATTAAAACAAATTGCAGTTTTATATTGCAAATAAGGGCAGTTTGATGGGTTTTATTGCAGAACAACCATTAATGAAGTGCAGTTTCAGGCACCTTAATTGCTCAGGGACCAAAGTTCAGTCCGTATCTGCAGCACGAGCTGGGAGCTGCCGTGTGTCCCGCGAGGGCCGGGCAGGTTGGGAACGGGATCGGGGATGGATTTATGGGCACGGTGAGGAGGATGGAGGCAAGGGGCCGAACCCACCTGGGGGGAGTTAAAGCAGCTTGGGACAAACAGCACGGCCCGGGCGGGAGGGAGGCGAGAGCCCGTGGTGTCCCCGCCATGGTGTCACCCCACTGTCACCCTAGTGCGAGCCGTGGGGCCCCACAGCGGGTACTCACCATGGGACGCGTTTTGGGATGGGGGTTCCCAAGTATTTGGGATGCTGATGTTGTCCCAGGGGCTGGGCAGGAGCGATGCAGAGCCAGGGCCGCGGGGGGCCCCGGGAAGGCCCCCAGAACAAAGCACGCGTGGGTGTGCAAGGCACAGAGGGGCGAGCAGGTGGACACAGCACCGGGGGTACAACCACGGGGGATCCACGCGCAGCCCGCACACCCAGGACACGATCGCGAGCCCCGGCACCGTCACACCGCGCGTGGACCCGCTCCCCACCTGCACGTGCCCACGCCTAGCACAGGCACCGAGCTGTACCGAGCCGTTCCGAGTCGCACGGAGCCTTACCGGAGCTTACCGGGCCGCACGGAGCCTTACCGGACCTTACTGGGCCGTACCGACCCTCACGGTGCCGTGCCGCGCCCCCGCGCGCGCCCGTTCATTCACCCGCCCGCGCCGTGGGAACGAGCCGCGCGCGCCGCGGGCGGGAAGCGCAGCCCCGCGCTAGCCCCGCCCCTCCCCGCGCGCATGAATGAGCGAGCCCCGCCCAGCTCCATATGAGGGCATCCGGCGTCGCTCTGTGGGCGGGGCCTAGCCGGCCCGCTCCGCCCTTTCGCTCCGCCAATCAGAGCGGTGCGCCGGGCCCCCCGCCGGGCTCCGGCCTTTGTTTGTGGAGGGCTCCGGGGCCAATGGGAGCGCGGGACGAGGGGCTCTGGGCCAATGGGAGCGCGGGACGAGGGGCTCTGGGCCAATGGGAGCGCAGGACGGGGGGCGCTGGGCCAATGGGCGCGCGGGGGGGGCGCGGGGCGGAGCGCGGGGCACGGCCCGTCCCGGCCACGTGCTCGCGGAGCCGCCTCCGCGGGGACCGGGGACAGCGAGGGGACCGGGGGGACCCCGGCGCCACCGGGCTGTGTCCCCAGCGGTGCCCCATCCCCAGCAGTGCCAAGGACACGTGCTTGTCCATCCGTTATCCGTGCCGGATCCCGGTGCCACCAGCGGCTCGGCACCTTCTGCTCCGGTAGACCCCGGGGAATCACGGTGGAGCGGCCCCAGCTCAGCCGCAATCCTCGGGCGCAGTCGGGGTGTGCTGTGGGTCGGGGCGGGCCCTGACAGCCCGAGGTGGCAGCAGGGTTAGTTCGGGTTTGGCTGCCTGTGGCCCCTCTCTCCCGTTATTGCCGGGACTGGGGCGGGGGCACCAAATCCCAGCCGCGGCAGTGCCCGTGCACACGGAGCTGCTCCACACAGGGCCGGGACAGAGCCACGTGTGGAACTGTGCACTGTGCCCAACACGGAGGGGCCTGCACCGGGCAGGAGCCTCCCACGGGGTCCCGGAAAGGAAAATTCCCCACCAGGCAATCCCATCCCGTGCCTGGGATCTGCTGAGACATATCCTGATCCCAACCGGCCCCAGTGCCATGGGCACACTCATGGCAAAGCCGGGGCACTGCCAGCCCAGGGCAGGAGGAGCAGCTCTGTGCTCGAAGGGTGAAGGTCACGGTCGCTTTCTCCGTCACAGGCAGCTCCTAGCTCCATGTTTGTCCATCCCCATCCCTCGAGTGCTCCAGGACACCGCCACAGCCCAGCTCAGTGTCACACCGACATTCCCGGCCGGGGGTGGCGGCTGCTGCTGCCCATCCCGGGGTGCCGCTGCCCATCCCGGGGTGCCGCTGCCCGGCCCGGGGGTGCTGACTCCGCTCCGTTCGCTCCCTGTCCCCGCGTGTCCCACCCAGCGCACAGCTCCGGCTCCATCCCCCCCCCCAGCCAGGCCTGCCTGCGGCGCTGCCCAACCACGGAGCAGCGCACCGAGCACCGGCCTGGGCACGGCCCCGGTGCCTCCCGACGGCCGGGCCAGCGGGCAGCCCGGGCCGGCCCCGCCGCGCTCTCCGGCAGCCGGGGAAGCACCGGTGCATCTCCCGGGGCCCGGCAGAGAACAAAGGAGGGCAGCGCAGCGGAGGGAGCGGCGCTGCCGGATGCGCTGCAGCGCGGATAATCCGCCCCGGCACGGCCCCCGGAGCACCGGCACGGCCCCGGTGACCGGCCCGAGGCGTGAGGGCCGTGCGGGGTGCGCGGGGGGCTCATTCCGGCCGCCCCATCCCGGCTCCTCCGGGCCGCCCGTTCCATCCCCGCGGCCGCGCTCACCCCGGCTAATGCCGCGCCATAAAGGAACCGACTTACATTAACGACTTTTGTCACCAAAGTCATTAACATAATAGGGCTTCCACATCAAAATTGAATATTAATGCTCCGCCGGCTGCGGAGGGAGGCGGATAATTGCTCTAATACATTTTCCAGTCGGATTTTCGCATCGCGGCAGCAATTGCATTAGCAAACCCGATTATTCCCACGGCCGCTACAATGGGACGGTTAATGGGAGTTAAGTTCCTGCCTTTTGCTCGGACCCCCGAGCGGCTGCGGCTCCGCGCCCCCCACTGTCCCCATCCCCGGGCAGGGCACGGGGTCCCCGGGCTGCGGAGCCGCCTCGTCCCTCCGCGCCGGCAAACGCGACCCTTGGACGGCAGACGGCCTTGAGACAGCGGGGCCAGCTGGAAAAGCGCCTGTGCCCGGAGCCGTGCTGTGCCGAGCCGTTCCGAGCCGCGGGGAGCCCGGGGATGAGCCGTGAAGGACAGCAGAGGGGACACGGCAGCACCACGGCGATGCTGGGGATCCGGGGGTTGTTCCCAGCTCCTGCCCCAGGAGGGTCAGGGGACCCTCGAGCCTCTTTTCCCTGCCGAGGGGGTTCGGCAGCTCCTGGGCGGATAAAGCTCAGGAAAGCAGCTGAGGAGGGGGGAAATGCTGGGGATGCAGCCCCTTCACTGCACCCCCAAACGTGTCCCCTGTGCAGGGACAGGCCGTGCCCTCTGCCACCACACCCCGTCCTCGGGGTCCCCTCTTGTCCCCTCAAAGGGAACACCGTGCTCAGAGGGCTCTGTGGTGGTCCAGCCCCAGCTGAGGGGGGCACAGGCACCGTGAGAGCAGCAGCAGCGGACAAAGGCAGCTGCAGGGCTGGGGGGTGGATGTGGGGGGGATCCTCATTAAATTGACTTTAATTGTGCTCATTTGGCCTCACTCCATTGATCAGCCTCACACAGCAGAGTTATCCCCACCCGGTAGGGGGGGCTGCCCACCG